CTCTGAAATTATATCCCTTGCTATTAAGTCCTTTCATAAAACTTTATTTTGATGGTATCCCACCTAGTAGGCTAATACTTATGATAAAGATGTCATGCTTGTAGGGCCTTATCACCTCATGTCTTTATCATAATGCGAACTCTTTTAGCCATAGCTACTACCATATATTTACATCAACACGTTTCATATGATAAATATGTAGTCTTAGAATTCTTGTACTTCTCAATCTCCAAATCCGTACCATAACCATTTTCAATCTTTGTTTTGAGCCTTACATCGTACACCTTATATGTATAAATTTCCAACAACTTTAACTTAGCCCATGAGCCATTTCAATATTGGGTACATGTAGAGTTGGTTTGAGATCATTCTTGGAAATTCTCAATTTTTCATCATTTCAACAGAATAAAATAAGACATACCTTGACTAGAAAAAAAAAACTCAAGATTATCATTCCACATCATTTTTTCCCCTTCTCTAATAACCTATATTGTTTCTTATAACCTCCAAGATTACGCCTTTTGTGTATCTCATGCCTTACTATTTTTACGCTTACCCAATTAAGTTTACATACTTTATCCTCGCATACCTTGGTATGCATAATTAAAGATTGACTTTTATTTGTATAGCTGGAGTAACTCAAGTTTGTCATGCCCATCTTTTACATATGGCATGCTTCGTTTATCCTCAACTCGTACTTACACATGACACTTTATTTTTTGTGTGCCACCTCAATTACATATGACACCATCATGACGATAACCTATCATGCTTAGGGAAAATCCGGTGTCAAGTACAATTAAGGGTCATCTCTCTCGTCTTATAATATTCCCTTTTCAGATGATCAAGAAGTCCCTATTTTTTTTGGGGAAGGTGTCTTTGGTCATTATTGACACTGTCTTAACTATGCCATACTTCTTATGAGTCATATTATGTTTACCACAAACTTGACTAATTCTCATTCACTTATCAATTAGATCCATATCACCTCTCTATATCTTGTCATGATAATTTAAGATGCAACATCTTCATTTACAATATTCTTTTTTTGTACCTTTGTTAAACTTGTTAGTGGTGATTACCATAGTAAACAGTCGCTCCAACATCTTGACCAAAAATCTTGAACTTAAATCTAGGGTCTAACATAGATGACTTTATTCGCATCCTTTAGTAAAATTCTTTTTAAGTCAGGACACCATCCTGACAATACTAGCTGACATCATCACCTTATTTTCTTCCATGATCTCTCAGTATTCGACTGATAATTCTTATTCACCAAAGTCATACGTGTTGACTGTATCAATCCCAATTTATTCTCAACTTATCCTTCCATTTTGAAAACATCTGACACTTCTTGGCTAATTAGCCTAAACATCTTGTATTATTACTTGAACCTTGAGCTTTATTCTCATCACTTCTATATCTCACACAACAGGTAATTAATAAGATCGAGAATACGTACTCTCACTTCAGACACAAACGCATGATCTGGAGTATGCAGAAAGTGAAACACCTTATATGTCATTGTAGCCTCCCCGATATAAGTGTGGCCGGCAACAGACCGATAAGAGGGACTCTACTTGACACGACTCCATAGACTTCCTAGGACTCGACTTAGAACCTAGTGCTCTGATACCAAATTTGTCACGACCCAAAATTACGTGACCGGCACCCGGCACACTACACGATCCGAGCGAACCAAACCATGTGATGCACCCAAATTATATGCATGAAAACCAATTTAATTGCGGAAGCTCCTTGAAAATCATACACATTTTCAAATTAAATGATAAAAATCTTTTCTAATTCAAAATCACACATGACGTATTTCATGATAATAACAATGAGACTAAGTATAATAAATATACTTTCATGTATGTCGTGTACAACCCCGTTACTATAACCTTTCACAACTATTTATGGAGCCTCTATATTAAAGAATAAAACCAACGGTTGGAGTAATTCCAACAAAATAAAATAAGAACGAACATGATAGCTACCACACAATAAAAGTGGTGCTTCATAATACCTAGGAAAGAGAGTCATCCAAACCTGACCGCATGGCACGTATCGTACATCATCTTGAAACATGTAAAGTAAGTAGGGTCCTAGAGGGGGCCCACTAAGGGTTGAGTACACCAGAACGGTACTCAATAAGTGTCATAGACTCTCTCTAACTTAAGTTCTTGGGACAAACTTTATAAAAATAATGCACCAATATTTGATAAAAAAATGATAAGATATTTTATCAATTCATGACCCTTGTTATTTTAAATAATAATCAAGTAAAATATAACCCACAATATAAACTTTTAAAGCATTTACATCAATCCAAGATTTTGGATAAAATCATATAAAATCATTCTATTTGCTTTAAGTCATCGAAATCTGTTTTAGCTCCTTGGGCCTAAACATAAGAAAATCATCCTTACCTTTCACTGGGAGTACTATACCATCACCGACATAAGAAGGTCAACTATGTTATGTACCTAGCGGCAATTATCATATACCCTACTTGCTCAGGTCGTCTCATCGTAGTGCCGTACAAATCGACTCAGACATGCTAATAATAGCACAAAATAGTACTCTCTCGAGGGAGAATACTCTGTCATAGTCTATACCACAAAGTGACAATCTACGCCTACATCAGCACGTATAGTTTCATGACAACGAACAAGATATATTTGAAGCCAATCTTGGCGAACACAAGTAACTCCCAAAATATTTGATACTTCAAAAATAAATTCATAGCATAGTAGCCTCAAAGGATCTATTTATATCAAATTATTGAATTTATAGAAAATCTAAATCACTTGAATAAAATTTAAATAAATAATCTTTTTCATACTAAAGCCTTTAAAAATTTAACATCAATATTTAAAAGATACCACAAGTGCCATTCTGTTCGTCAATTTCCAAAAGAAATACTTTTCACGAAAACTTATCTTTAGTACTCAAATATGTATACTCTTGTAAATACGTAAGTTTTGATAAAAACTTATAACATTTACCTAGAGTGTCATTTTGCCAACAAGATTTCAAATAATTTTTTTATAAAACAGCATGACACTACATATGCAACATAATATTTTAATACATGGAGACATCCGTACTTGTTTGTCCCCACAAGCACGAAAGCACATTTGCAAACAACTTAAGTATTAACTTGAAACATGCTTTTAGAGAAAGTTCCCCAAGAAGAGTAAGTTTTAATCAACTTACCTCGCTTTTGCTTTATTAACATTCACAAGCTTTCAATCCTCCTCCATCATTCCAATGTTGATTAAAATGCTCAACATCACCAACAAGTCGATATCTATAATTAGATATCCTTATTACATCAATATATGATCTAAGATATTGATCAACCTCCATATATGGCTCATAAGTTGGCTACAAGCCTCCAACAACTCAAATCGCCAAATAGTTTTACATGCTAGACCATTCAACTTCATTCTTATGTTTTAATACCCATTCGAAGTCGTTAATAATACTACATCAATTGTCCATTGCCTCCAAGTTACTATTCATCGTCTTCCATAATCAACACTTGCAAAATATACAATTCGGGTAATAACAAATTCTGAAGTCATTTTCTTTATAAAAATACATGGACATATAACATCATTTATGTAACCCTCTTTCAGCAAATATTCACTCAGGCGATTATACCATATGCGCCCAGATTACTTTAAATCGTACAAAGTTCTTTGTAATCTGATTGAGTACATTTTCCGAGATTTTGAATATGCTTTAGGCATTTTAAATCATTTAGAGATTTTCATGTAAATTTCATTATCAAGTGACCCGTACAGATAAGCTGTAACCACATCCATTAGATGTATTTCAAGCCTTTCACGTAAGCCTTTCCGTAAGCCTTTCATTATTCAACTTTAAACTGATTTACATAATGAACTGAAATCTCCTCTATTTATAGAAAAAAGAAAGTTGTTATGTAAGTTACTGCTGCAAGCTACTACTACAAACTGCTACTACAAGCTGCTCTGTAAGTTGCTTGTAAGCTGCTACTGTACCAGATATAGATAATCTTCTACCAGAGTAATGTTTATCCATAACGGGGTATCAAAATGATAAGCTTCTTCAGGAATCTTATTTTCAATAGAGTACTAAATGGATAAATATAATTACGGCGGAATCTCATATGGATAAGCTTTTTCATGAAACTTATTTACAACGGACTACTAAATAAACATCAATAATTTAATATATTTATAACAATGTGCCTCATTAAAACTTTACTAGGAAAAAAACCCGTGAGAAAAAAATTCTAGTGAAAAAAAAAGAGTAAACATATTTAGCATGAAGCATAGCCAATTGTCTCGCTAAAAAATTTATAAGAAAACCCGGTACGAAAACGTTAGTAAGGCGGAAAAAGAGTGCGGAAAAAGAGTATAGGTATTTTACTCCCCTAACTTGTTTCAAATATTTGACTCTCCTCGTTCCAATTCTATACCATCTTCTCAAAGTTGAGCACATCCGAAAGAACTTTGCATCCGTTGAAGAACTGAGATATAATGGCGAACTCGGTTCCAACTTCGATGAGAAAAAGAGATTAAGACTTTTGGAACGAGCCTTAGAATACGAACAAGATGCTCGAGCTGCTCTTTCCCTTGAGCTTGAGAAGGAAAGAAATCACATGAGGCTATGGCTATGATCTTACGTCTACAAGAGGAGAAGGCATCTATTGAAATGGACGCCCGGCAATACCAGAGATTAATTGAAGAGGAAATGAACGTTCTAACGGAGATCCTGGTGCGGACAGAGAGGGAGAAACACTTTTTGGAGAAGGAACTTGAAGTGTATAGGCAGATGTCTTATCTTGGAAATGAGGAATCAACAGTTGATAGTGGGATTTTAGCGGATGCTCTAAGACGTGCTGATGCTTCATCCGATCCTACTGAGGATCCAGTTCTTATGCTTCATCAGATTAGTACATCGTTTGAGGCAGAAAACAGGAATTCCGTGGAGGTAATTTCTGTTGATAATAAAAGTTATACTGCTTTGGGGGGAAAGGCACCAATACAAAAACAGAATAAAGATGCCAGCTCCCAAAAGCAAGTTGACCTAAGAGAGCATTCTTATAGCAGCCAAGAATTTCAGGAGAAAGNGGGGGGGGGTATGTGATAGACCGTGTTTATCGGTCGTATGTTGTCTCTATTGAAGGTTATGAGACTAGGGTGGACCTTCTATTACTTAGTCTTTGATGTGATTTTGGGCATTGATTAATTGTCTCCATATCACACTATCTTATGTTGTCACGCCAAGAGTGTGACATTAGCCATGCCGGGGTTGCCTCGCTTAGAGGATAGGAACTCCTGGGCATTCCACTAGTAGGGTCATTTCATATGTGAAGGCTCGATGTATGGTCAAGAAGGGGTGTCTGGCGTATTTGGCCTATATTTGTGGTTTTAGTGCGGAGGTTCCTTCCATGGATTCAGTTCTAATTGTTCATGAGTTTCTATATCTGTNACTGAGGATCCAGTTCTTATGCTTCATCAGATTAGTACATCGTTTGAGGCAGAAAACAGGAATTCCGTGGAGGTAATTTCTGTTGATAATAAAAGTTATACTGCTTTGGGGGGAAAGGCACCAATACAAAAACAGAATAAAGATGCCAGCTCCCAAAAGCAAGTTGACCTAAGAGAGCATTCTTATAGCAGCCAAGAATTTCAGGAGAAAGAGATGGTGCTTATGGTTAACACCTCTGATGTAAACCAGAAGCTTCCTGATCATGCCATTTCGCTTGGAGGGGAAGTGCTAAAAGAAAATCCAGATACAGAAACCTGTGAAAGAGCTTGTATTAATGTTTCTGGAAAAGACAAGTGTTTGAAGTATCATGAGACGGATGGATATCAGGGATTAAAATGTCCATGTAATTTGACCTTGGATAAAGAACCTCATGTTTATGATGTTCATGTCATTATTAATAAGTTTATACATATTTCTTTTAACTAATATTGTCTTGTATTGTCGTGGAATTGTTATGTATAAGTGAATGTCAACAAGTCATCGTGTGATTGTTTATTTGTGGCCTCTGCTTGACATTTTCTTGGGCCTGGCTTTGTGGTTATTTTGTGTTGACCACTTGATTGTCCACCTATGATCACTCCAAATTGCTTTTCTGCGTCCATTTCTTCCACCTATTCTAAAAATTGACCTTGTTTGTTGATGGTGTCTTGATGACGCGAGATAAGCACTCATTTAGTGTTGTCATCCTACAACCGGAACGCAGGTACATCTTCAAATTCAGCTCCGTCAGTCTCAACAATATCAGCAACTAACATCTTGTCACGACCCAAAATCCCACCATAGGCGTCGTGATGGCACCTAGTCTCTAAGACTAGGTAAGCCGATTTCAATTATATTTTGAAGCCATTTTGTTTTTAATAGATAATCAAAACTAACAGCGGAACAAAAGTGAATATACAACCTCCCAGTCTTGGGTTTTGTATAAATCATGGTACGGATAAACAGTTTTCTCAATATGTGCAGAGAGTAGCATGAGTACTCCAAAACCTAGCACATATATATGTATATTTTTTATTACAATCTCACAATTAGGATAAACACATGACAACTCTATTGCATAAACTAAAATTTTTTACTAGTTCAATTGATCCACATAAACCTGGATGTCTTTGACCCATAGCATTATAGTTGTTCCCACCTTTGACCCATAGCATTATAGTTGTTCCCACCTTTGACCCATAGCATTATTGAGCACTTATTTTGCTGATGCTTGACACTCATGTGTAGGGTGTACCAATCCACAAAAGTCACATACTGTTTGCGGCTCATTCTGTACCTTGGCCAGTGTGAGCTTTTTTATCTCCTTGGACATGGTGTCTAGCTGGGCTTGCATGGATGTGTTAGAGTCCACCTGGTGAACCCCAACCGAATTCTTCTGTCATTACTCTCAGCCGGCCACTGATTAGCATTCTCAGATAATTCATCAAGGATTAAGACAACCTCCCTCGGCGTTTTCTTCATTAGTGGACCTCCACATGCTGTATTCAGAGTTACTTTCCTCAACACCAAGTCCTCGATCATGAAATGTCGGAGGTTCGCTCTTCAGTTGTAGTATCTCTCTATCTGATGTTTCTTGGCGGCCAACTGAACTAGGGCAACCTCACGTCTTTCATCCCGGCTCACTGATAGTGCGGCTGATAAGAAGTACCTGGATATGCACACGAAAAATATGTGCAGAGAGTAGCATGAGTACACCACAATCGATACCCAATAAGTGCCAAGCCTAACCTCAGTCGAGTAGTTATGAGGATATGACTACAATTAAGCCAAACAACTCAAAATTAGAGTTGAGTTGTTTATAGAAACAAAGTTTTTTACTCATATAGATTTTATGAGTAACTCAAGGATTATGACATCGATATTCTGTACCATCCGGGAAAGGCTAACGTTGTGGCGGATGCTCTTAGCAGGAAATATATGGGCAGTTTGGCTCACTTGGGAGAATATCAAAGGTCATTGGCCAAGGAGGTTCACCGGTTGGGTAGTTTGGGTGTCCGCCTTGCGGACTCTATTGAATGAGGGGTGATTGTGCAGAATAGGGCTGAATCATCGCTTGTTGTGGAAGTCAAGGAGAAGCAATACAGTGATCCATTGTTGGTACAATTGAAGGAGGGGATTGATAAACATAAGACCATGGCCTTTTCTCTTAGCATGGATGATGGTACACTAAGGTAACAAGGGCGACTATGTGTTCCAAACGTGGATGGTCTCCGGGAAAGAATCTTGACCGAGGCTCACACTTCTAGGTGTTTCGTGCACCCTGGCTCTACAAATATATATCATGATCTTAAGGAAGTCTACTGGTGGAATGATATAAAGATGAATGTAGTGAACTTTGTGGCAAGATGTCCAAATTGCCAGCAAGTGAAGGCCGAACACCAAAGGCCCGGTGGTTTGGTACAGAACATAGAAATTCCAATATGGAAATGGGAGGTGATCAATATAGACTTTGAGGTGGTACTACCTTGCACGCCTGGCAAGTTCGATTCGATTTGGGTAATTGTAGACCGACTCACAAAATCAACACACTTCTTACCTGTTAAGGCTACCGACATAGCGGAATAGTATGCTCAGTTGTACATCAAGGAAATAGTCAGGTTGCATGGCACTCTAGTTTCTATTATAGCAGATCGGGGGGCACAGTTCACGGCTAAATTTTTGAAGAAATTTCAGCAAGGTTTGGGTACTCAAGTGAATCTTAGTACAATCTTTCACCCGCAAACAAACGGGCAGGTAGAGCGGAATATTCAAACACTTGAGGATATGCTGCGACCTTGTGTTCTTAACTTTAGGGGTAGCTTGGATGATTATTTTACGCTCTTAGAATTTGCCTACAATAACAGTTATCATGCTACTATCCAAATGGCACCGTTCGAGGCATTATATGATAGGAGATATAGATCTCTCATTGGGTGGTTCAAGATTGGGGAACAAGAATTGATAGGGCCAGACCTCGTGCATCAAGCTATGAAGAAGGTTAAGATGATTACAGAACGATTGAAAATTGCCCAAAGTCATCAAAATTCCTATTCGAATGTGCGTCGTAGGGAATTGGAGTTCAACGAAGATGAAGCGTGTAATGTGGTTTGGTAAGAAAGTAAAATTGAGTCCGAGGTATGTCGGACCGTACCGAATCATTCAGAGGATTAGCCAGGTGGCTTACAGGATAGAACTATCTCTAGAGATGTATGTAGTGCACCAAGTGTTTCATGTATCCATGTTGAAGAAGGTGGTTGGAGATCCGTCGCTTATTGTTCCTGTAACACCCCGGAAAATTTCGAAGTACTTAAGTGTAAAACCTTCTAAAATTTCGCAAATGAATTTGTAAGGCCCCGTTAAAATTTCCTAATGATTTAAGATTTTATAGTGCGACAACGGTATTCGGGAATAACGTATTCTAGTATTAAAGGAGACCCATGGGATTTATGATCAAGTTTGAGTTTTCTTTTGTATTCGACCTCGAATCAGAGTTTTGATAATTTCGTTAGGTCCGGATGGTAATTTTGGACTCGGGCGTATGCCCGGAATTTAATTTGGATATTTCTACGATATTTCGACGTCGCTTCTTCAAGTATATGTGGTATCACAATAATCAAATGAGCTCCAAATTCTGTTTTGATTGAAGCAGTATATCCGTATTGAAATTATAGAGCCATAGAAAAAAGAATCGTCAAATTCGGACATCGTATGAGAGAGTTATGCCAGTCCCGTGTCAGAAAAAATCATTTCCCGTCACCAGCGCCCAGGGCAGCGCGGGGCGCTATCCCTGTCGCTGGGATTTTGCAGCTACTGGAACTAGAGCCACAAGCAGTGCCCCACGCCACCTGTGGCACCCGAAATTCTATATACTCATTTCAGGGTTCATTTTACCCAATTTCTCTTGGCCTAACTTTGGGGTTTTCCTCCATTCTCTCAAGACCTCCAACTCCTCCCATCTTCAAGGTGAGTAATCCCTACTAAATTTATATTTCATTTCATCAATTCCACCCCAAAACTAACTCAATCCTCCATAAAATACATAGATCTTCAAGAACGTTTTGCAAGATTTCTTCCAAAAGGTAATCCTACACCCTTAGACTTACATGTATGGATATATTATGGGAATATGAGTATGAATTAAGTATTGGAACTTATGGTATGGTGATTGGAAGCCATAAGTTCCCAATTTAAATACATATCCATTGTAGTGATTATTTGATAGAATTTTGTTGGTTGGGTGTGGGTGTATGGTCATGTATGTGATGTTGGAAGTTATGAATTATTTAAGAATGATGGTGGGATAAATTGTTGGTCAGTGGTAGTAGTCGGATAAACTAATTCTATGGGTAAGAGATATAAAGATTCATGCCTACTAGGTGTTTGATAAAATGCCTTAGTGGCCTAAATTATGGAATTTGTTATTAATACTGGTCCAATTGAATTATGTTGATGTAGATTGAAGTTTTAAGAGTAGTAGGTGGTTTTAGTAACCCTAAAGAGCTCCAGCAAGGTATGTTGGCTAAACTTTCTCTCTTGGAATTGAATTCCAGAATGTTTTCGTAAGTTTCAAAGTATGGGTTGCGTATAAAATTGTTGTGGCTTTGAATCATATTTCAAATGAAAGATAGTATGTCAAATTGTGTGAGAAAATCTCAATATTCTTAAGACTCTAAATTGTTCATATGTGTACCTAAAGTCTTGATTTGAAAATGTCTTATTGTTGATAATCTATAAAGATGGTTGGAATAGAAATAAGTGAATTGAGGATATAAAGTGTGGCCAAGGTGCCAATAATTTAAGTTATGATTGTGGCTAGTAGTGCAAATGATTTGAGAGAATGCGAAAAAGAATATGAAATGAGCCTCGACTTAACTGTGTTAAAAGTGATTTTGAAAATAGAATTTGCCTAAGAGCTTTTGTACTAAGTTCATGCACATTCTTTAGATGCAGTCAAGAGATATTATGTTGTATATATATGAAGAAACAACCTCTTTTTGCGGCACCGTTTTGGAGGTTTTCGCCATTGATAAATAAAGGAAAGAGAATTGAACTTGTTTGTGATATAAAGTATATAAAGCAGAGAGATTTTTTGAAGAAGATACAAGAGCAGGAGAAAAACTTTTAGGTAAAAAGTTTGGATGTGGATAAAAGTTTGAATATTTATAAGCCTGAGGAACGTACTGTGTCACATTATGCGATCGCAGAACAGGTTTGCGGACCGCATATTGGTCGCAGAGTGAGGCAGGGGTGCCCACTTCCGGAGGGCCATTAGGCGGTCCATTTTGCGGACCGCAGAAGCGTTATGCGGTTGCATATGCGACAGCAGATCTGCATCGTGGCTTCATTTTTTCTAATTTTTGAACCCAATCCCATTATTTTAAAACATCCTTGGGGATCATTTTAAAAGGGAAAAACATATATTTATAGTGACAGGGGGTGCCATATAG